TTTAAATGGGCAAAAAATTTCAATAGATATTTCTCCAAATATACACAACTGGCCAATAAGCACATAACAGATGCTTAATATCATTAATCTTGAGGGAAATGCAAATGAAAAGTGCTGTGAGATACCACTTCATATCTACTAGGATAGTTGAAATTAAAAAGACAGACCATGGGGCGCCTGGGTGGCTCAGTTGGTTGAGTGTCTGACTTCGGCTCAGGTCATTATATTGCTGTTCGTGAGTTCAAGCCCCTAATCAGGCTCTGGGCAGATGACTCAAAGCCTGAAGCCTGCCTTAGATTCTGTGTTGCCCTCTCTCTCTGCCCCTCCCTGGCTCTCACTGTGTCTCTCTCTCAGAAATAAATAAACATTAATAAATAAGTTAAATAAATGATAAAAAGGCAGACAGTAACAAGGATGGTGAGGATATGAAGAAATTGGAACCTTCATACATTGCTGGTAAGATTGTAAAATGTTGTAATCACGTTAGAAAACAGTTTAGAAGCTACTCAAAATGTTAAACATAGAATTAGCACATGAACCAGGATTCCCACCCCTAGGTAAGGAAAACACATGACCACACAAAACTTATACACAAATGGCATCATTATACATAATAGCCAAAAAGAGAAAACTCAGTGTCCATCAATTGATGAATGGTTAAGCAAAATGTAGTATATTCACACAATGGAATATTACTCATCAGTGAAAATGAATGAAATACAACACACATTAACCTTGAAAACATTATGCTAAGTGAAGGAAGGAACCACTCACATACTGTATAATTCCATTTATAGTAAACCTTTAATCCATAGAAACAGAAGATTAATTGTTTCTAGGCTGGGCTGAGGGCTGAATGGGGAGAGACTGCTAATGGGTATGGGAATTCTTTTGGGGATGATGAAAATGTTCTAAATTTAAATCGAGTGATGTTTGCACAACTCTATGAATATACTAAAAAACTACCAAGGTATATACTATAAAAAGGTAAATTTTCTGGTATGTGAGTTAAACAAATAAATACCTACCATATGATCATCCATTTCACCTTTAGATATTTACCCAAGAGAAAAGAAAGTATATTCCCATACAAAGATTTATACATGGGCATTCATTAACAATTTATTTGTAATCATCAAAAACTGGAAAAAACAAAAAACAAAACAAAAAAACTCCAAAAAACGGGATGCCTGGATGGCTCAGTCAGTTGAGCATCTGACTCTTGGTTTCAGCTCAGATCATGATCTCATGGTTTGTGGGATTGAGCCCTCCTTTAGGCTCTGCACTTGGAATTCTCTCTCTCCCACTTTCTCTCTCTGCCCTCCCCTGTGCTCGCTCTCTCTCTTTCTCTCTCAAACATTTAAAAAAAACTGGAAACACCCCAAATGTTTATCAACATGATTTACTACTCAGCAATAAAGAGAAATGAATTATTAATGCATTCAGCAATAGGATGACTATCAGAATAGTTATGCTGAGAGATACTATCTACTAATCTTATAGCCAGCATCATACTTAATGGTGAGAAACTGGAAGCTTTCCCACTAAGATCAGGAAAAAGGCAAGATGTCTCCTCTCACCTCTTTTTTTCAGTATCATAGTGGAAGTTTTAGATACTGCAATAAGACAAGAAAAGGAAATAAAAGATATACAGCTTAGGAAGGAAAAAATAAAACTCTTTGTTTGCAGATGACATAATTGTCTTTGTAGAAAATCTGAATTGACAAAAAAACAAACAAACAAAAAACCTGGAATTAATAAGCAATTACAGCAAGGTTTCAGGATACAAGGTTAATAAAGTCAGTGGCTTTCCTTTATACTGTAATGAACAAGTGGATTCTGAAATTAAAAATACAGTACCATTGAGGACCTCCAAAAATGAAGCACTTAAGTATAAATCTAACAGAATATATACAAGCTTTCTATGAGGAAAACTACAGAATCTGGTGAAACCAATGAACAACAAAAACAAAAAACGGAAAAATAGTCCATGTTCAAGAATAGGAAGATTCAATATTATAAAGATGTCGGTTCTTCCTATCATGATCTATAGATTCAGTGCAAGCCTAATGAAAATTACAGCAAGTTATTTTGTGGAAAAATTGATTTTAGAGTTTACATGGAGAGGCAAAGATCTAGAATAGCCAACACAGTATTGAAGGAGAACAGGGTTGGGGGACTGACACCACCCGACTTCAAGGCTCACTATAAAGAAACAGGAATCAAGACAGTGTGCTGTTTGCAAAAGAAGAACCAGATGGATCAATGGAACAGAACAGAGAGCCAAGGAATAGCCCCACATAAGTATAGGCAACTGATCTTTGACAAAGGAGCAAAAGCAATACCATGGACCTAAGATAGTTTCTTCAGCAAATAGTGCTTAACTGGACAGCCACATGCAAAAAAAAAAAAAAAAAAAAAAAAAAGGAACCTAGACTGAAACCTTATATCCTTCACAAAAGTTAGTGCAAAACAGACCACAGACTAAATATATAACCCAAAACTATAAAACTAGAAGATAACCTAGGGGAAAAACAAGATGACCTTGGGTGTGGCGATGACTTTTTGGATGTGACACTAAAGACATGATCCATAAAAGAAATCATTGATAAGCTGGACTTCGTTAAAATTAAAACCTGCCTCCGTGAATGACACTGTCAAGAGAATAAGAGGACAAGCCACAGACTGGGAGAAAATATTTGGAAAAGGCATGTTAAAGGAATGTTATCCAAAACCTACAAAGAACACTTAAAGTGTCAAGAAATGAAACAACTTGATTTAAAAAATGGGCCAAAGATCTTAGACTTCTCACGAAAGAGGACATGCAGATGACAAAAAAAGCATGTGAAAAGATACTCCACATCATATGTCATCAGAGAAATACGAATTAACAGTAGTGGGATGCCACTACACACCTATTAGAATGGCCAAAATCCAGAAAACACTGATACCGACAAATGTGAGCAAGGATGTGGGCAACAGGAATTCATTTATTGTGGTAACGCGAAATCGCATAACCATTTTTTAAGATAGTGTGGTGATTTCTTACGAAACAAAACATACTCTTACTATGAGATCGAGCAACCATATTCTTTGGTATTTACTCAAATGACTTAAAAACTTACACCAGCAAAAAAACCTGCACGTAGATGTTTGTTGCACTTTTATTCATAACTGCCAAAACTTGGAAGCAACCAAGATGTCCTTCAGTAGGTGAATGAAAAAAATGTGGTATAGCCAAACAACAGAATATAAGCCCCAAAAAGAAATGAGCTATCAAGCCATGAACAGACATGGAGGAAACTTAAATGCCTATTACTAACGGAAAGAAGCCAGTCTGAAAAGGCTGCAAAACTATAGAGACCCTAAGAAGATCAGTGGCTGCCAGTGGGTGGGTGAGTGAGGGATGAATTGACAGAACACCGAGGATTTTTAAGACAGTTAAACTATTTTGTATGATCCTATAATGATAAACACATGCCATTATACATTTGACCAAACCCACAGAAGGTACAACACCAGGAGAGAATCCTAATGTGACGTGTGGACTTTGGATAATTATGATGTGTCAATATAAGTTCATCATTTGTAACAAATGTACCACTGTGGTGAGGGGCGTCGATAACAGGGGAGACTATGCATGTGTTGGGGCTGAGTATATATGGAAAATCTCTTTACCTTCCTGTCGGTTTTCTTCTGAACCTAAAACTGCTTTGAAAAAATAAAGTGTTTGAAAAAATAAAGTTTAAAAAAAATTGAGTATACATTAAAAAAAATTAATTTTTATTTTTATATAATTTATTGTCAAATTGGTTTCCATACAACACCCAGTGCTCACCCCAACAGGTGCCCTCCTCAATACCCATCACCCAATTTCCCCTCTCTCCCAACCCCCATCAACCCTCAGTTAGTTCTCAGTATTTAAGAGTCTCTTATGGTTTGCCTCCTTCCCTCTCTGTAACTTTTTTTTTCCCCCTTCCCCTCCCCCATGGTCTTCTGTTAAGTTTCTCAGGATCCACATAGGAGTGAAAACATAAGATATCTGTCTTTCTCTGCCTGACTTATTTTACTTAGCATAACACCCTCCAGTTCCATCCACGTTGCTACAAATGGCCAGATTTCATTCTAAAAAAAATTTTTTTTAAATGAGTTATTGATACATTCAACAATAGGGATGAATATCAGAATAATTATGCTGGGTGAAAGAAGCTAGACAAACACAAACAGAGTTTATTCTGATTCCATTTAAGAGGAAGAAATGCAAACCAGTCAATCTACAGTGAGAGAAAGTAATCAATGTTTGTCTGGGGACAGGGGTCTGGGAAGGGCCAGACAGAAGAATTATAAAGGGACATGAAAAAACTTGGGAGTGTGTCCATGTTCATTATCTTGATTATGATGATGGTTTCAAGGTGTATGTGATATATATGGTGTCATGGGTGTATACATATGTCAAGATTTAACAGTGTATAGTTTATGGTATGTCAATTATAACTTAAAATTGTTTTTAAAACTGTGAATTGATTTCTAAGTTAATGTCAAAATAAGAAAAATAGTCTTTGGGCCTGTGTGATGAATACACAAACCTGCATACTGAAACGCTCCATGAAGAGACATTAAGGATGTGCAAGTTTAATAGGATGATTTCTGAGAAGAAAATGTTATGAACACCTGGAGAGTTAGGATGTTAGAGAAGACAGGATGAAGAAGCATTTAAGTCAGGACCATTTGAGACACTGCTGTGCTTTTCTTACTGGTGTGAGTCAATATTTGATGCTTTTGTGGAAAGTAAATTTTTTCCCCTTCATCTTACCTTCCAGTGTTTCTTTTACATGAAACCCTGCCTAAGTATCAGGGAATAGTTCAAGGTGCTTGTCCTGGGCCCCACTGTAACCAATTTCAGTACAAAGAATAAATTTTCAGGCTCCATCTCTTAACATCTTTACTGAAAATGCCATATACTCTTAGTCTGCCTAATCCCCATGGCTTGTTTTTCTCAGTCCTACACACCTCCAAGCAACGAGTTCAAGATCAGCATGAAATTGGAAGCGCAGGACCCCAGGAATACCACATCCACGTGTATTGCGACAGTAGTTGGACTGACAGGTGCCCGGCTCCGCCTTCGCCTTGATGGCAGTGACAACAAGAATGACTTCTGGCGGCTGGTTGACTCATCTGAAATCCAGCCTATTGGGAACTGTGAGAAGAATGGGGGTATGCTGCAGCCCCCTCTGGGTGAGTAACTAGATCCAAGCCTTCCTTAGCCAATTAGTTATCTTCCCAGAATGCTACATCCTGTTACAGGAAAGCCTAGGGTCCCCTGCCTATTCTTCTCTTTCATATGGCCAAAAGAAAAGGCCTACCAAAATGAAATGTGCTATAAAATATGGACATGTCCATCTCTACATTAACTTATGATATCCAAGCTTATTTCTTAAGCTCTCCTTTTTCTAACTCGAAACCACACCTTTCATCAGTTCCCAGTTACCCTGAGAGAGTGGAAGGAGGTTTTACCATTTAGCCTGCCTCAAAAAACCATAAAGGATTTTACCAAATCCTACAAGGATAACCAGAGGTGAGAGAAAAATCTTTCAGTAACAAGATGACTGACACAGAGGTTCCTTATCTCCTTTTCCTTAAATTCTCACTTGGTCCTTGTAATTTTCTCACTTTGAATCAGTTGTTAAGTAAAATGTGTTATTTTACTTAAACTAATAACCCCACTAGAATTTTCTTCTCAAGATCAGATTTATCTTTTTGTTTTTTCCCCTCAGTATAAGTGACTCAGCCCATCTCATCAATTACTATCAGTCACTATTGCAATGAGTCTCAACAGAGAATAGAGAGAGATGGGTTATGAGCTGTGGGCTATGTTCCCCTCAGGGGGTTGTGCTAAATTAATTGAGCATTAGAGGACAGATGACATTTGCAGGAAATCCCCAGGTGGTTACTGAATTATCCCCCATTTAAAAAATTTATTTGTAATAAAATTCCAAACACATACAGAAATCACAAGAATAGCACAGTGAATGTCCATGTACTCTTTATCCTTGATAATTATCAGCACATAATTGATCATGTTTTATTTGTATCTGCACATATTTCCTGCCCCCTCCTGCCCTGTTGCCCCAACATAGTATCATTCTGTCATTAAATATTTGGTATCTATGTCTCGTAGATAATATTTTTAAAACAATCATAATAACATTATCATGTGTTTATAAACTAACGATAATTCCTTAATACCAACTAATATTTACTCAGTGTTTAAATTTTCCCTGTTGTCTGTCTGTCTGTCTCCTCTCTCTTTCTCTTTATTAGTTCCTTTGAATCAGGATTCAAATAAGATGCACATATTGCACTTGGTTGACATGTCCTTTAAGTCTCTTTTAACCTATGGGTTCTCTTTCTCTCTTATTTTTTTCTTGCAATTTATTTGTTGAAAAATCTAAGTAATTTGTCTTTAATTATCTCCCACAATTAGATTTTGCTGATTGTATCTCTATGGTAACATTTGACACATTTCCATGTTCTCTCTTTTCTAGAAATTGTCAGCTAGATCTTGAGGCTTGATCAGGTTCAGGTTCAATTTTTTCATAAGAACATTTCATAGGTAGTGGTGTTTACTTCTATTGGGAAGGATATATATATATGGTCTCATTTCTCTCATTTTATAATGTAGCAGCTGTTACTGCTTGTGGTCTAGATCAAGGGTTGACAGATTTTCTTAAAGAGTTAGACAGTAAAACTTTCAGGTTTATGGGCCATACATTCTCTGTTACAACTAGTCAGCTTTGTCATTGTAATACAAAAATAGCCACAGACAATACATAAATACATGGGCAAGCCTGTGTTCCAATAAAATCTTACATTTACAAAAACAGATGACTGGCCTGCTGGCTATAATTTGCTGACTCCTGATATAGAGCAATCAATTCATTATGGTTGCAAAATGGGAAATTTTAATCTTACAGTTCTGTCCACATAAATTAAATGGAATATATCTATTAAACTTCCATCACACTTTTGGTTATTGTGAGGTTATAGTTCATGGAAGAAAGCTTAAATGCTTGATTCTTTACCAATTTTCAAAATAATGAATTAGTTTACTACCATCCTCCAAAAATATTTAAGGACATTTTTGTTGTTACTGTTATTTAGTATCATAAACCCAAGGATTCTTACATATTTGACATGTTTCATTCCATTACACTAATTGTCCTTACTGATTCTTGATTTGTCCCATCGGCTGCATAGGAGCCTCATCAAATGGTTTCCTGACACTTTTTTTTTCCTTTTCTTTCTTTCTTTCTTTTCTTTTTTAGAGAGAGAGAGAGAGTGCACCAGTGGCAGCACAGTGCAGCGGGGGAGGGTAGAGGGAGAGAGAGTGAGAATCTCAAGCAGGCTCCACACCCAGTGCAGAGCCCGACACGGTGCTCGATCTCATGATCCTGAGATCATGAGTCGGGTGCTTGACGGACTGAGCCACCCAGGCATCCAGTCTTCTGACACTTCATTGTTTGATAGCTGTCTTGGATTTTTGAAATTTCAAAATCTTCCAGACTCATCTTTTTTTTTTTTTTTTTTTTTTTTTTTTTTTTTTTTAATTCAAGTTAGTTCACATACAATGTAGTATTAGTTTCCGGAGTAGGACCCAGTGATTCATCACTTACATATAATAATGTCCAGTGCTCATTTCAACAAGTGCCAGGCTCATCTTTTAAATTATCTGCCTCAAATATGGAATCAGCTATTTCTTTTAGATGCCCAGTTCTTCTGGTTCTTCTAAGTGGGAAATGGTATTTAGAGACTATTATCTGAATCCTAGAGTACTCAGTGCTACTGGGTTGGTCATTCTTTCTACATCTTTTTGATATAGAGAGATAGGAACTGCCTTATTGTTATTATTACTGTTACTATTATTATTATTAAGAGAAAATCATTAGTTCATATTGATACTTCCTACTAAAGTTCAGGACAAATGGTGCTTTTATTTACTTTATCTTTGCTGTCTTTAATCTGTATCTCCTTTATACCACAACAAAACCCTAGTTCTCTATGTCACTAGCAAAATAACTCAGTTGTTTTATCCTATTATAGTACACAGGACAACAGTCTCAGAATAACAGTAGCAACACTTACCACCATTATCATTACTGATGGTGTTTGAGTTACTTGCATTTCTTGTTTTCCTACCCTCCAATGAAGGATAGTCAATATATTATAAGTTTGCTTGGATTAGTTTCTTTCTGGGTGGCAGTGCCACCAACTTGGTATAAACCTGGGTTCATTTGTTGTATTGTTTTTTATTTTTAGAGATTGCTTCTTGGAAACTTTCCTCTATAAACATATATGTGATACACATCATTCTTAAAGTCCAATCTGTAAAGTGAAGTATATTGAGAGAAATCCCCGTCACTTTCTTCCCTTCTTCTGCCATAGGTAGCCCCTGTCTATATTCCCATTTTTTAAAAATACAAATATCCGTGTGTGTGTCTGTGTGTGTACATATATACATAAGGTATTTCCCACCTTCTTATATAAATGACAGCATACTATACATATTGGTCTTAACCTTACTTTTTGCCACTTAATGAAATACCCTAAAGATGACTTCTTAGTAGCATGGAGATATTCTTCATTCCTTTTTATAGCTAAATAGTACTGTATTATTCTCAACCTGCTTGATGAATTGCTATTTGGAAACATCTTGATAGGCTATTAAAAAGTAGAGTTGACCCTTGAACAACACAGGTTTGAAATACACAGCTCCACTTATACACAAATTTATTTCTGTAAATACAGTACAGTACTATAAATGTATTTTCTCTTCCTTAATATTTTCTTAATAACATTTTCTTTTTTCTACCTTCCTTTATTATAAGAATACACTATATAATACATATAGCACACAAAATATGTGTTAATCAACTCTTCACATTATCATTAAGGCTCTGGTCAACAGTAGGCTATTAGTAAAGTTTGGGGGAAGTCTACGCAATTTTTGACTGCATGAGGGGGTGCATGTCAGTGCCCCTAACCCTCACATCAATCTTTCAGTAACTTCTCTAGAAATGTACAAATCCAAAAGGAAACCAAACCACCCCTAATTCATGTTTAAACATAACTGAGAGCCAAGAACACCACAGATTTTAATTACATTTTCAGATATAAAGATCTGAAACCATTAGAGCTAATACCTGACTCATACCAGAATGAATAGTTTTATGTAGTTAGAAATTGCATTTAAAAGGGGGAGGGGCAGTGGAGACCTAACACAGTCAAAATCACCTCCAGGAAAATATAGGCCCATTTAGAGTGGGAAATACTGAGAACAGAACTAAGACCTAATTCCCTACTGGGGAATCCAAAGGAAGCCAGTGGTTCGAAAGTCTGGATTGAGGGACTAGAGATAGCACTCTTGAGAAGACAACTACCTTTGGGGGAGGGTAGACATATTGAAGGAAAAGCAGGGGATTGTAATTCAGAATTATACAGAAACAGAAGAGAATCATAAAGCCAAAAGACACATCAGACACTTCCCATCCCAACAGCCTCGTCTGCTAAAGAAACTGCATTTCATTAGGTCAACAGAAAATTCATAACCCGAGATCCCTGCCAAAATAGAACCTCCTGTTTTTGCTGGTCCAGGAAAATATCAGACATTTCAAATGATTAGGAAATAGCAATCGACACCTATAAAAAGCTTCTATCTGACAAAAAGCAAAGATGAGGCTAAAACCATTTTAACTGTTAAAAATTCTGCCAAAATCAGTGACTAACCAGAAGAAAACTATTGCACAACAACCCAACTTGAATTAAACAAGTATTGACAGATATGAAAAAAATACCATGAATCATAAATTTTAAAAGACTAGAAATGCACAATAGACAGGAAGATGTAAAAATGGAATCGTCCAAACTCAAGAAAAAAATTGAAGAAAGACAAAATAATCTCAATTGACTCAATTCCAAGGTGCCCAATGGACACAGGTTTAACTGAAAATGTAATAAGGGACATTGAGAAGAGAAATAAAAACAGCCAAGAGAATAAAAATAAATATTAGAAAAGGTTAAAAAGTATCAGAAAGGAACTGTTGGATATAGAACATAGTCAACAAAGATTCAATGTGTATGTGTAAATGTATGTATGCATGTATTATTGGAGTCTCTGAAGAAGATAAAGCAATGAACCAGAATTAATACTTAAATTTTTCAAAAATTAAAACCCAAAC